CAGTCACTGCAACTGAATGGGCTCTCATCCCAGCTGGAACCCCAGTTGAGCTGCATCTTCTTCTGTCACCAGGACACATGAGCAGAGGCAGTGCCCAGGTCCCCATTAGGCAGATCTCCTTCCCACAGCCACCATCCAGGCCTTTTCTAGTCTCAAAGGTGCAAGGCCCCCTCCAAAAACACTTCATGAGAGGCAATCATCACCCTTCACTTTAGACCTGGAAGGCTGTTGGCTCTGGGAAAGTTATATTCAACGTGACTAGAGAAGCTCTGAATTGCTGTCTTTGTCCCAGGTTGTCTCTCTGAAGTTCCACAGTGAAGAAGTACTCTGGTGACTCTGAGAGCCTGGTTTAAGGTAGGCCAGGGAAGGCACAGGTGATAGTTCCCAGATCCTTCCCTGTCCCACCTAGACCTTCCCTTTCTAAACCCTCTGCCAGCAATTCCTGCCGCTGTCCTCTTCACACCCGCAGAGAGAGAAGAGCAGGATTTCTTTGCCCATTGTACAGATGAGGGCCAGGGGAGAGAAGGGACATTCCCAACAACAATACCAAGGCCAGTTAATGCCAAGTCCATGACTGGAACCTGAGCCTTGGGACTCCTGAGTAACAAGCTCCTCTGTACCCTATCGTCTGCTCCTCCTGTGGCCCAAGGCCTCCTCTTTCTTAAGCATTTTCCCCAGTGCCCCCTTTCCCATGTGCTCATTCCTCTCACCCAAGCTGAAACCATGGGTCTATCTTCTCCTGCAGACCCCAAAGTCCCCAGGCAGGACAGGCTTGAAACTGGTGCCAAGAAATATGGCAATGGCCATGTGGTTGCCCACCTTTCTTCCCTTGTGCCATGGAAATAGCAGACATCCCTGGGTTCCAAAGCTAGACCAGTCACTCATCCTCTCTGACCACCCAATTCCTCATCTGTAAATGGGGCTTGGGAGCTCTTGCAGGGCTGGTCTTCTGGGGCTCTCCATCAGCCCTGGTCCCATATACTCTAACCTGTGATGGTCCCCTTAAGAGGCAGTGACCTTTTAACACCTTTAGTGGGACCAGCCTTTATATTTTTGGGTCCCCCAAGCTAGGGATGAAGGGCCTACAATGGTGGGTTACCAGCTGAACTGGGAGAAGGGAAGCGGGTGTTGTACAACAGGAGTATCAGCCAGGAGGGGATGCAGTCCTGGATGCTGCAGTGCATACTGAGAGAGCAAAATGCCACTGGATTTCTTGGGAAAACCCAAGTTTCTAGAGTGTTTTTCACTGGCTTCTGTTGCTCTGCTGCCAGACAGATTTTCCATATCAGTCACAGCCATGGCCATACCCACAGAATGGGCAGAAGAGGCTGCCACATCCTGGCTTGCAACCCAGGCCCTGGTAAGTCACACAGAAATTGAAGGCAGCTGGTGCCTCTCAGTCAGCAGTCTTTCTCTGACCTAGCAGAGTTAGTCCTGGGAGATAGGAAGCCCCTATCACCTCTAAGAACAGAGTTGGGCACACAGAAAATGCTGATTAGTTCTGTGAACTCTGTGCATGGAGTGGGTGGGTGGGGCACCGCATAAGTCCCCTATGTGATTTTCACGTTCCTTCCATTACACAGTGTGTTGTGCTACCTGAGATTTTTGCCATAAATGTGAGAATCTGACCCAAGCTGTGACCTGCTGATCAAAGCTGACCTGGCTTGATAAGAAAGGCCTTGGTATCTCCTGGGTGAGCTTGTCTCTACCTTCCTTCCTGTCTGCAGATTCAAGCTCAGAGTAACATCTTTGTACAGAAACCTTAGCCCCCAGGGGGCCTCAGGTCACTTTGGGCTTTCCTTCCTCCACTGGCCTCCCCCGCAGCTCACACAGGAATCCCAGTCCTACTGTACCTGTAGATCCAACAAGGCTCCCAGAGGGTCACCTTTCCAGATGAACCTTGAGAGGGGGGATCCTTCAAAGCTGAGAGATTTGAGAAGCAGGGACGAAGGTCCCTTTGACTCAGACTGCTTTTTCCCAGGCTAGGGGCTGAAAATGGAAAATCCCTTCCTGGATAGGCCTCAGCCAGGTCTACCCCTCTGCTCTTGCACAGACCCTCTCCTTCCCACAGATACTCCTCCCTGCTTGCCACCCTTCCCCAGCTCCCTCTGTGTAGGGACAGGTGCCCTGGGGAGCACTGACACCCACCTTGATCTTCCACTTGCAAGATAAAAGAACCCATGTTGAGGGGTTAGAACCTCTGGGGGTGGGGAGTAAGAAAGCATGTCAAAGTCAGACCCAGGCCCAGGTAGGGTGGCATCCTGGTCTCACTCCACTCCATCCCTCTAAGGCAGTGGTTCTCAACCTGTGGGTCACAACCCACAGTAACTGTATTAAAGGGTCACGGCATTAGGAAGGTTGAGAACCACTGAGGGGTTTCCATGGTCTCCCATCCTTCCACTTACACATGCATACTTCTTACACATTTATCAGCATATCTGGCCTTTCAAGAGTATCCTCTGGGTGACCACAGATGCCTCCACCTGCAGTTGCCCCCTCTGTCTTGAGCCCTAGAGGCCAGGGTGGATAGGGGCTAGGACAGCACCTATCTGCTGTTCCCCCAGATATCCTTAGCCAAGGCCCTCCACACCGAGGCCTGCAGAAGTCTGTAGCTGGACAGGATAGGGTGAGAGTGTCTGCTCCCAGCTTCTGAACACCTGCAGGCAGTCTGACCCTCCATGTCTGCCTTCTTTTTCACATAGGTGTAGTTATAAAGACATAGACATATATGTGTGTGTTTTTATATGTGTGTGTGTATATATATATATATATAGAGAGAGAGAGAGAGAGAGATAAATGTATACATACAGAGACACCTCTTTTCTTATTTAACATCTGTCTCCTCCATCTAGAATGGAAATTCAGATCTGGGTTAGTTCTCTGAAGCTTGTGATAGGGGCTCAGTAATGTTTCTGGAAGGAAGACATAGCAAGGTCGCACTGCTCTACTAGAGTTTCTGGGTTCTCCCAACAAGAATTTACTTATCTTTACATTCTGAAGCCATCACCTGAGCCAGGCAATGGGATTATTTTATTCCTTGAAGGTGACACTTCACTTTATTAAACAACAAGATGATCGTTCAAGGCACCCAGCCCTGTGCACCCTGATACCACTCACCAAAACTGTTGCAGCTTCTGACCCCAAGCCCTAGTTGCTATTCACAAGAAGGAGTTTCACTTATGAAAGTGTGTGTGTTGGCAGGGAGCACTTCCCCAACAGCCCCTTTAATAGACAGTTTCAGGAGCAGTGAAGGTAGGTAGACAACTCCCTCTCACTCTGCTGCCTGGCTGAGAGCAGGGAGTGCACTAGGCTTGAGGCCTCAAGGAGGACATGCTAAACAGAACCTTTTACCCAATATTTATTTCACATCAGACTCTGTGGAAGACCTGGAAACTTGTTGGCTTCTGGTTTTCCTATAGGTCTGGGAAAGAGTGCTAGGAAGCAGATGATGAGTATATGGGATAGGTGACTGAGAACACAAGAGATAAAGACATGGCCCTGGCACCCACAGGGACAGCTGCTCTGTGTTCATCACCAGCAGGAAAGGGGCATGGGGCAGACAGGGAGAGAATGGGAACAGGGTCCTCCTGTAGCTACCATCCAGGCCCTGGTCGCTGGGTACCAGCCTTATTCCAAAGGCCTCGTTTCTTCAGAATCCCCTAGATACTAGGTTACTACAGCTGCAACATTCCTGGGTCAAGAGGCTACCCAGAGAATCACACAGTCCATCCCCCAGTCCCTAGAATCCTGCCAGTCTGCTGAGGGAAGGAGCCCCCTTCCAAAGACCAAGACCATCACCACAAGCCCTGTGACTCAACCCCAGTGTGATTGGCCTGTGAAGAGCTTGGTCCTCAGTCTTACCTGTGGCCTTGCCCCACAGTCCCCACTGCTAGCTTAGCCCTCCACTGAGAAACTGAGGGACTTACACCCTCCTTGTTTATGTGATGCTAGCCAGAAGTCTCAGCTCTCTGGGTAGGGTCTGGATGTCACTTAGAGTCCTGGCTTGTGGGATTTTCAGTGCTAAAACCAGGATAGTTCTAGGAAAACTAGGACATCTGGTCATCCTAGTGTCATTCTCCTCTAAACCCTCTGAACCTTGTAAGTAGGTTCCACACCAGAAAAAGCCATGTCATTTTGTTCCTTTTTATGTTTCAGACCTAGCTCCTATGGGTCATGAGGTGCCATACCTCCCTCTTGCCCTCCTTATAGCTTAAGCCCCCTCTCACCTTGGTCCCACAAAGTCTTGCCTGCTTGGCCTCTCCACTCCAGGGATTGGCAGGCAGTGTGACCCCATTCCACAGTTGAGGGACAAGGCCCCAGAGCAGCCTTGAACTCAGGGTCAGAGGCATTTCCTCAGCTAGATCAATTGGGCTGCCACCTCATAGGTGGGATCCAAGTGACTATCCCCATACCCCCCCCCCGTCCCTCAACCATCCTATCCTCTCCTGGGGCTCCATGTATCCTGTCACAGCCTCATACTGTCATCGTGTAAACAACTTAATTACAACTTGAATGCTTTCACATGGAATGGTTCAAGTTAAATTACAGATTTCTGCATCCTAAATTACCCACAGCCCTCCAATCAGCTTAAGTGCTAACATATTTATAGCATCTAGAGGACGGAATAAATCCAGAACCTTCTCTGTGAGGGCCTCCTGACATGCAGTATTTGCCCAGTGGAAGATGTACACATGCCACTCCTGCATCCCTCCAATCAGTGGAGTATAGCAATAGAGGGGAGCTAGGCCCAAGGCACAAGCATGCCCAGCATAGAGAAATGCCCAGCTCTTGGTGTCTGTCTCTGCCCAACACCTTGCCCAAATGTCTCTGGCAGGCATCCTCAAACTACGACCCATGGGCCACATGCAGTCCACCTAAGACATTTATCCAGCCTGCTGGGTGTTTTTGCCACCGCTGCCTGTCCTGCTTAGCAGCCGACTTGTCCTGGGGCCCACAGTCTGGCCCTCCAATGGTCTGAGGGGCAGTGAACTGGCCCCCTGTTTAAAAAGTTTGAGGACCCCTGGCCTCTGGCATCAGTCCTGACCCTCCTAGTCTTATGGGGACGCCAAGTGCAAAGACCCCTTCTCCACTCCATAAACACTGAGAGCCCCTTTCCATAGATGGGATGGAGGTGGGGTAATTAAAAAATAGAGTAGATTTTTAGGTCTTTTCCCAAGGGGTAATCCTCCACCTTCTTTCAGGCATTCAGAACTGCCCCCTCTCCTAACCCCAGGTCCTCAATATAGTCCCAGAAAGGGAGCCTGCCTTCTAGAACCCTGTGAAGAGATGCAGTGGACAGTGCAAGAAACCCTGCCTTGCTTCCCTCTTCCCTGCAGTCCCTGAATACTGAAGGGAGAAGAGAAAGTAGCCTGCCCCATGCTCCACTATCCTGGAGGGTGGAGCCAATGCAGAAGCTCTCCATCCTGCCCTCTGTGCTGCTGGCATAAAAATAAGTCTGCCTGTGGGAACAATCATGCACATGCAGCAGGTCTGGGGACTGTATCCTTCCACTTCTGTTCCCCTACTTCCTCCCCCCTCAGCTCCCACCCTAGTTTAGGCTCAGCAAACAGGGATCCCTGCCAGGGATAGGTGGCTAGGAGACCTCATGAACCCTCTAGTATGGATGGCCCTCAATCATGAAAAGCCCCTCTTCTGGCATCCTTGCCACTGGGCAGTTTCAGCTTCATTCCTGGGCTTTCAGGGCCCATAACAGATTCTTCCCCACTCTGTCCCCAGGATTCAGGTGGTTGCCTTTCCCCATCCCAGACAAGCCTCCTGATTCCAAAAAACAGGTCTCTGTCCATGACAGAGTGCAAACCCCTTTCCCCTCTCATCCCTCCATTTCCTCAACATTAGAGGAGCAGACCCTGATATGAGGGGCCTAGACAGGAGACAGGAAAGCCAGCAGTGGCTCTTGACCTTCCCACCATAAGGGATGCCCCACATGCAAGGGCCCTCAGGTTAGGAAAGATCAGATGACTAGCCTGCCTATCTTAGAGACTAGAGAGTCAGCAGGTGGGTCCACAGAACAGCTGGAGCCTGGCCTGGCCCTTTCCCATCTTGGCAGGTCCTGAGAGTAGGTCTTGACAATCAGGGACTGGGCAGTTCTGTGGGCACCATGACACGTATCTCTATCAGAGAACCAGGCGTGTCCCTAGGCCACTCACGCATGGATGGCGTTGGCTACGTCGGTAAACACCAGCCGGCTGGGCCTCTGCAGTGGGCCCTGGGAAGGAAGAGTGGCCTGCAGGGAGACAAGCAGGGGCATCAGAGACCTTGACCAAAGCTGTGTACTCTCTGGCCCTGTCATCTCCACCCTCACTTCCTAGTGTCTACTTGTACTTGGCACCAGCTGTGCCTTCTGCCTGGAATGCTTTCCCTGCAAGCTCAGCTGAGAAATAAGACCTGGCTCAGATGACTTTTCCCTGCAACAGTCACCCCAGCTTATCCTATCACCTTGGCAGCAGTCACTGTGGGCCCAGGCATTGATATAATTATATATGCATCACCTTTTCCTAGCAGGTGATGCTCAGCTCTGTACCCTCAGGTCCTAGCACAGGGGCTGGCACAGGAAACAACTGTCAAATGGTCAGTAGTCCCAGGGGCTAAGTAGACCAAGGTTCACGGTGCAATTTCCTGAATATCCCAAGGGGGCAATATATACTGGACCTAGGTGATGCACAACTGAAGGCAAAAAACCAAGGGGTCTTTAGACTCCTAGCCTGACTCTTCCTGCGCCCAAGGAGATGCAAAGAGGTTGGATGGGTCAGGAGTGGGCCAGGCCTGCTCATGACACTCTGGCCCTGGGAATTTGGAGATTTGGAGAAATGGGAGCAAGTGGTTGGTGTTGAGTTTGGTTGGGGTCTCCACCTGCCTGGGGTCTGTCGGTGGCTAGGTATCTATCAGTTTACTTTAAGGCAACCACTACCCAAGAGTCTGATGGCATCCACAACCCACTCAGGACCATAAACCCTCAGGAAGCAGAGGAACCCAAGGTCCTAGCCCCCAACAACCTCCCAAGAATCTCCCCAATTAGTCTCTCCCCCTCTTCCAGCTCTTCTAGCCAGTATGTGGGGTTACACAGGACAAGAATTAGGATTTTCATTTATGAATGAGAAAACTGAGGTTCAGAGATGCCAGTGGGGCTCCCAAGATCAGCAGGCTATTGGGGCAGAGTGAGGCTAGACCCCAGGGCTGCCTTAGCCTGGCCTTGTGTATTGAGTCTGCAGGTGGCCATGGAGCAATTTGACCCGTTTCTAAATAAACCCAACAAAACCCAGTAGCTGCCACCTGACCATGTGACATGAGAAAGGAGGGAAGGTGAGGGTGGAGGAGACATGACAGCTGCAGGTGGGGTGGGAGCCTGGTCAGTGCCCACCTTGCCCTGTGCGGCCTGAGCACAGGCAGCAGCCTGCATAGAGGCAGCATCCCGTCCATGCTCCAGGAGCTCCTGCTCCAGCTCATCTTGCTCCTCCGTAGGGTCAAAGCTGTACATGGGCATGAGCTGGTGGCGTAATTTCTCCAGCCTGAGGATAGGGCAAAGGCTGCTAGGGACAGGGCAGGCCCTTCCCCTCCTACTAGCCCTCTGGCCCTGCCTGCTGACCAGATTGGCCATAGCACATAACTATGTTTAGCATTCTAAGATTTCCTTTAAAATGGGATTAAATGACAGACATTTTTGCACTTTTAGTATCAGCTCAACCCCTGATGGGTGGCCTGAGGGGTTAACCATTCCTGGAATTGGTAGGGCCATGGGCCATGTAGCTGTTGTCCATGGGGTACACAGGGACTCCATAGACTGGAGACTTGCTGTAATCCACAGCCCCTGGGGACTGAGGTCGGGGAGGTTAAGTCAGTGGCAGTTAGCTCGGGGGAGCAGGGCAAGGGTGGCTGGGCAGTTGGGTGGCATCTCGCCCCTTCTCCTTCCCCACCCATTCCCAATCCAGGGTTACACCTAATTATCTAGAATCTTCATATCTGCTTGCCTTGTGTGTGGGGTCCTAGTTGGATACCCTCAACCATCCTTGAAGGAAAGTGGTCACCCCCAACCCTGAGTGGGCAGAAGGGGCCCTAACTCCCTGACCAGGGACAGGGCTTTTGTGGGGAAGGTGGAGACTTTCTCCTTTCAACCCACATCCCCTGGAGCCCAGCCCAACACTGCCCATGGGCTGGAGTTTGGGGTAACAGCTGGAGAATTACCTCTTCTTCTTCCTGATGTATAAAACCTGCAAGGGAAGGAGCAGTATTAAGTGTCAAGGGAAGGAGGTCTTGATAGCTGTAGCCCCACCTCCTCTGGGAAGCCCTCCCCAACTGATCCTGCCTACACAAGGCTCTTTTTCCTCCTGGGTGAGGCACACAGGCTGACACAGATTTGTTCCTCCCCATACTCATGGCCTGGCTCAGAGCTGGCATGAGGGGAGAGGAAGCAGAACACAGGGAATACCTTTGGATCTGCCTCCTATGCCAAGGAGCTGTTTCCTCCCTCCATCATACAATGTTCTACCTCTCCAATTTTGCTAAGAAGTCAATCCACCCTTGCCCTCTGAGTATTCCTTTAGAACAAAGAGTCAGGGAGCTTTTCTAAGTTTTTAGGACAAAATCTTTCACCGAGAGTAACAAGGGCAGATTCTAGACTCTGCTTTAGATCTGAGTTTAGGGTGTTTCAGTCTGCTTAAACAGCACACAGGCAGCAAGGGGAAACACTAGCATTTGCCTTACCCTCACTCCAGCAAGCCTCCAAAGCCCTAGCCTCACTCTGCATGTGCTGCATCCTGACCTTGTTTGGTGGCTGGCAGTTGCTCTTTGGAGGCAATCCAGAGCCTATGGGGCCCATATGGCAATCTTGGTTTAACACCAGCTCCAACCAGGCTATGGATGGACAATCTACAGTCCTATTTGTCATAGCAACATGCTGCTGAGCCTAAGGCCAGCCATTAGAGCTTCCAAGGAGCAGTAGAAAGAATGCTACCATTGCTAGGCCCATAAAGGAAGCTCAGGTGCATCCCCACTCTCCCTCATCTCAGCTGTGCAATCTCCAGTGGTCCCTCAGTGACATTCTGAGCATCTATGTATCATCTTAGAGGGACAGCCCACATCCTCAGGGGCTGACATCAGCTCAAGAAGCTTCATACTCACCACTGTAGTACACCTGCAGCAGCTCTTTCCTCACCCTCCTGGGGACTGCCCAACTTCACTTCTCATGGCACTGAAGCCAGCTCTAATTTTACACCCTTAGCTATTCCCAAGCACTCAGCCTAGAAAGTACCTCTATTCCCCTGCTCTCCCACTTGATTCCCCAAGGAAGTCCCTATAAGCTTTCCTTGGAAACCTTGGTTTTTATCTGTCTCTCACTCTTCATAAGAACCACAAGGCAGGACCTTGTCTCCCTAAGTCTCAAAGGCCTGGTACAAAGACAAGTACTCAATAAATAATTGCTCAATGAATGAATGAATACTGCCAACAGCCTGCCATGCACCGAGCATCCCACCCAGACTCTGCAGCCCATAATCCATTCAAACTACCCTCTAGCCTCAACTCCTATTATAACCCCACACCCAGTTGCTTCACTATTGGGGTTGCTGCTCACAAAACTTCCTACCTGTTTCCAAACTTTTGCCCATTAGGATGATCCAGTTGGAACATCATCTTCCCCTACTCCTATGTGGTCTTAATGAGCCAGCTCAAAACACTATGTATTTCTCAGAAACTTTTTTGGTTCTTCTAATAAGAACATTTGCCTCTCTCATCTCTGGGCCCCAGTGGACAAATCTCTGGGGGAAGAGAGTACTGCATTATTGTTAACAGATATTGCCCTCTGATCTGGTTCTCTATGCATCTGAACATCGATTACCCTTCCCAACTGAGAGCCTCCTGGGCCAGCTTCAGCCTACCCCAGCTCTTACCATGGCTACAGCCAGGCCAATCACTGTGATGATCCCAAGGGACAGTAGCATGGTACCCACACTGGCTGCGCCACCAGCCACATCAGGGATTCTGGTGTCATTCAAGCTGGTAGCTTCTGGGCTGAGGGTAGTAGTCTCAGAGGCTGACCCTTCTGTAGCAGGTTCCAGATCAGGCTCAGAGGTGGGTGGGTGGCTGCTGAACCAGCCCCTAGCAGGTGCAATCCTGGAGTTCATGCTGATGCAGACAGGGCCCTGGCTGAGAGACTGTCTGTGGTCAGTCAACCTGCCCATTCACTTCTGACATCAAGAGGTCCCAGCCTGTTGTTCCTACCACTTGTAGTGGCCACCTGTACAACCACTCCTTGGATAAAGGGAGCCCCCTGCCTCCCTGGGTGCTGGAAAGGAAAGAATAAAAAATATGAGGCTAAGGGGCTCAGCAGTGACATGAAGTCCCTCTAGGTTCTGAAAGCACTGTGGAAATAAAGGTTTGAGGAAAATGACAAGGGCAAGTTTAGGAGATATTAGGACAAGTGTTTTATGGTTCCCATGTGTTTTTAGGAACAAAAATGAAGCCTTATCTCCTCTGTTTGTGGGTAAGAGGATCATAGTGATCATACCTGGAAGGTAGGAAAGTCAATGGGAGGTTTGAAAGAAAAAGTCCCTCCTCTGCACAATAACATGTCCCCTGCTCCCCACAGCTCCCACCTCCTCACTCCCTGCCTCCCACATTCCTCATCCTGCTTAGGAAAAAAAATACCATAGCTTTTTCCTTTCCTGGAGGTAAACACTTGCCCAAGAGCTAGTCAGGTCTATCTTTGAATCCCAGGTCAGCTACTTAACTAGATGATCCAGGTAAGTCACTCTGCTTCTCTGTGTCTCAGTTTCCTGAGTGTAAGAGTTTATTAAGAACATCCCCACAGGGTCACAGGGTTACTGAAATATCAGAATGAACAGGTCTCTAAAATCTTAGCACAAGCCCTATTCACAGTAAGTGCCCAATAAATATTAGATCTTCTCCTGCTGGCCAACATGCTCAGGAGAGGAGGAGCCACAGGAGCCACTGGACCCAGCCTACTGTTATTTATAGAGTAGGGGTCAGGGCTGGTGTGGCAAGACCTAAAATCAGGAAGGAGAGGAAGGCTCTTGTCCTTTAGCTAGCTGGGCTTCTCTGCAGACTCTTGGGATCATTGGGAAAAGGCAAGGGGAATAAGGGGAGTAAGGAGGCTTTCCATCCCATTTTGGGTATCTTCTCCTCCCTCCTCCCCTGGGAACAGAAAATGGGAGATTTACCCAGCCCAGTAGGTCCTGAGTAAAGCAGGGTGGGAAGAGGTTCCAGCCAAGTTGCAGATAGGCAGGCCTGAGGAGAGGACGGAAACATAACTCATGGCAGCACACACATATGTCCTGGCTCATGGGTAAATGTGGGGTGCCTCCCTGTGCCGATGCACCCGTGTGTGTGAGGTGTCCACATACCCAATGGTCCTTTAGGAAGTGGTAAGGCTGGCAGAAGGACATGGAGTGGAAGAGCTCATCCCTTTTTGTCTTCTTCCTCCATCTAGACTGGGCACAACAGGAATCATGGATTCTTTTCTTGGCTGTGTCACTGACCCTAGGTGTGACCTTGGGTCAGGCCCTTATCTCTTGTTCTTAGGCTCTGTTATTCTTCCTCCCCCCAAAGGAGAAAAGGGGCCTTGCTGACCATTTGCCAGCCCTGCCTCAGGGTCCAGAGAGGAAGGGAAGGAAACCAGAGTGAAAGGATTCGGCATCTGCACCGCGACCTTTAAGAATCCGCATGCCATTCTTCCCTAGGTCTCCCAGTCCTCCCTGCACCAATCCCCATGCCCGCCTCCACGACCCTGTAATTCCTCTATTCTTGCACAGTAGGTAGCGACCTCAGCACTTACTTAATCTCCAGGGCGGGGAGCTCAGTCAGATAGGCTAGGGGTGGTGGTGACAGGCGGGAAGCCAGGGCGGGGGAACCCCAAGGCCCGGCGTGGTGGTCAGAGGGTCCGACCTGAGGTCTGTTCTTGAACGAACGTTCGGAGCCGCCGGCCAGGCCCACTACGGCGCACAGCCCGCAGCCCGCAGCCGCGATCGCTCGCTCTGCCAGCTTGGGCTAGGGTGGCTATGGCCCTGTCCCACAGCAGGGGTGGGACCCGGAGGAGCACTCTCAGGGGATCTCGGAAGCTCCAGCTCCTTGCCTCCTTACTCGCTCCGAGCCCCCAGCCCTCGATTGGCTGTCAGGCATAGAGACCATCCAGCATTGGCCCGCTCACCAGTCTCTCGCATCTGGCTCCGCCCCCGGCAGGAGCCAGGAGCCTGTTTTCAGTTCTTGGAGACTATCCCTAACCTCGAGACTGCTCTGATCCAGCCCAGACTCGACCTGCTCTAAGACAGACTCATGCCCCCGAAACGCAAGCATCCAGAGGAGGCTTGGGGAGAGCACTGGACTAGGAGTACTCAGCGTTGGGCCTGAGCTCAACTCTGGATCGACCCTTTACTGACTTTGTGACCCTGAACAAGCTGCTTCTCCTTCCTGAACCTTGGCTTCCTACTCAGATGGGGCCTCTGTTGTGAGGGCTCTTGGTAAATGACTCCAACCCTGGGCTAGAAATGGGTCATCTTCAGTCCAGAGAAGTTGGGTACAGGATGGTATTATTATCCAGTTGGTATTATTATTGGGCATCCCCACACAGGCAAGTCTACATATAATCCCTTCCAATTGCTTACATCCGTGGCGTATGGATGGGGAGGAGCCCCCTCGGATAACCTCTAATCCTCAGGTTTCCAAAGAAGCTTACGGGATCACGGGGTAGCATGGTACAAATGCAGATATCAGGGTTTCCTTGGTTCCAGAAGGAGCCCAGGAAACCTCAAGTTTAATAGTTTAGTTAACAGGGATCAAGCTAAGTCACACTTGGCAAGATACTGCCACGAATTTTATAGAAGGAGCAACTGAGGTGCAGAGAGGTCCAGCCACCGGACACGGTCTCCTGATAAGTTGCCAACAGTCAGGATTTGAACCTAGCCCTTTGGTGCCCATCTGGGCCAGTGCTACCGTCTCTGCAGGGTCCTGGCCACTGGGTCCCGCCTCCAACAGAGGAACCCGCCCGCGCTCTGCTGGATCCGGCCGGTAGGCTATGGTAGAACACGCCCCCCGGGTTTAGCCCCGCCCCCCGGCCCTTGGGCCTAGGTCCTGCCGGTGACACCCCCATTCCGGTGGGCTATTTGGCTCCGCCTACACACCGCCCTAGCAGGATCCCTAAACACTACCTGGGAGCAATCACTGTGTGAAGTAATATACTGCCATGACCTTAAGGAAGACTGGCTAGTCCAAGCCCCCGGGCGCAAGCCGTTACACATCCTGGCACTTTCCTGTCACTAGACCTGGGGGCGTAGTGGGCGTGGAATTCACTGCCGCCCCAAATGCCCTTCAGGGGTCTCTAGGGAGGAAGCTAACGGTGTTAGGAACTATGGAGCTGGGCAACAGTGTCTGCCCGAGCTATTTCTCAGATGCTCCAACCCCGGAAGAGGTACATCCGAGGGAACGCATCGCAGTCTGTGCACGTCCGGGACCCGATTCTTGGGTCATTTCTGCGGGCTGTTGGGCTGGTAGGGCAGTCCCTTAGACAGGTATGCCCTAGAGGTGGGTATCGGGATGGGAACGCCTGATCTACAACACTCTCGAAACTTGGCCGGCCCCAACCCTGGTAGACCAGATGGGGGAAACAGGCTCAGAGGAAAGGAGCTTTGCCTTGGTCACTAACAATGCCCTGTGTAGCTGGTACGGAGTTTGTGCCCCAAACTTCCGGCCTCAGCTCCTGGAACGGCTGACAGATGGACAGACCCACCTCTGTGTAGGGCAGGCTTGAGCTTTTGTCTGCTTGGGACAGTTCCTAGCTGAATGACCTTAGGCAATCGCTACCCCTCTCGGAACCTACTTGTATCTAAAGTTGTAAAACTTACTAGGTGCTCAATACATGCTAGTTGAGAGCTTTGTCGGGAAGTAGAGGGGACCACTAATTTTAAAATTTGAAGTTAAACTTATTTGTGACAGTTTAAATATAAAATTGTTAGTGTTATAGCTGTCAATTTATGCTGGCAGCTGGGATCATGGGTTAAATAAGGGGAAAATTTTCAACATACAAAACAATTACAGGGAGGCGCCTGTGGCTCAGTGGGCAGGGCTCTGGCCCCATATACCGAGGGTGGCAGGCTCGAACCCGGCCCCTGCCAAACTGCAACAAAAAATAGCCGGGCATTGTGGCAGGGAATCGCCTAAGCCCTGGAGTTGGAGGTTGCTGTGAGCCTTGACGCCATATCACTCTACTGAGGGCGACAAAGTGAAACTCTTGTCTCAAAAAAAAAAAAAAAAAAAAGCCCCAAAACAAAACCAATTACAATACATGGAAAATATCAGAAACAAAGCTCCAAGCAAAGGCAATCTTCTGCCCTCATAACATTATTTAAGAGCTGGATTCTGCTGTGTGTTAAGCCAGCTCCCAGGCCCTTGATATGCATTGACTGATGAACTGTTTGTTATGGGGTGGTGTGATTTCATTTTATGGATGAGGAAACTGAAATTCAGAAATAATGGTTTGCCTAAGGTCAGACACAGATCTGTTCTACCCCCAAACCTGTGCCCTGACCTACCACCAGCCTATTTATTAGCAGGGACTGAGCTAATTGTTCAGCCTAGGTCAGCTAAAAAGTGAAGAAAACATAACTGATCAAGACCAGAAGAACCAAATAGGTGGATGAACATGCCCTTTCTCAGGCAGCAGATTTGGGGTCAGTTACCACACAAGGCTCACCTGCTCTCCTGTTCCCTCCCCCAAGGTGGCAACCACATCTGAGGATAAAAGCCATTAGAGCCTATGACCTCTTCATCTCCATCCAGCTGTGGACAGAGACCACTCTCAGCACCATCCTCAGCATCTGACATCATAAAGGAGACTTGGGAACCTGCCAGCACTCTGGAGAGCCTTTTTCTGAGACATGGCGCTTTGGGGGCGAATGCTGTGGGCACTCTTTTCTGGCCCAAGGAGGAGGGGAGGCACCCAGGGCTGGGCCTTCAGCTCATGGCAACCCCATCCACCTCTAGCTGGGCTGTCCAGTGCCACCGAGCTGGTTAGCTACTGGACAGGTGTCTTTGAGAAGAGAGGTATCCCTGAGGCCCAGGAATCCAGTGAGTACATCGTGGCTCACGTCCTTGGAGCTAAAACAGTTAAGTTCAGTGTTGTCAGGTGTGCAGGAAGAGGGAGGAGGGAGGACCCTGGGGAAGAGACATTAAGGCTGTTCTGTCTCACAGAGTACTTAGCTGAGACTAATGGAATTTTTCTGAAGAAATGTCTTAGATAGATACTTATTTATCCAACGAACTATTACAATGTGGGCCAGGTACCAGGGGTTCAGGGATAAACACCTGGAGGCACAGTATCAACTTTGTGATCTGAGGCAAGATACTGCCCAAGGCTCGGCGCCTGTGGCTCAAGCGGCTAAGACACCAGCCACATACACCTAAGGCGGCGGGTTCGAATCCCCAGCCCGGGCCCGCCAAACAACAATGATGGCTGCAACCAAAAAATGGCCAGGCGTTGTGGCGGGTGCCTGTGGTCCTAGCGACTTGGGAGGCTGAGGCAGGAGACTTGCTTGAGCCCAGGAGTTGGAGGTTGCTGTGAGCATGATGCCATGGCACTCTACCCACGGGGATAGCTTGAGGCTCCGTCTCAAAAAAAAAAAAAAAGTTACTGCCCAAGGAGTTGACCCTCCAGACCAGTGCTGAGCCCACAGGTATTGTCCACATGAGAAACTTATGTTCAGCTCCTGGAGCCAGCCACTCACCTCACATTCTCTGTGTGACAGTTTCAGAGCCTGAAGCCGGTACTTCGGACCTATCCCCTGACCCCTCAGCAACTGAAGTGTATTCAAGAGCTGAGTAGGCGCCGTTTGCAGAGGTGAGCACCCATAGGTCAGAGGGCTTTTGTGGGGAGCAGTGGTTCACCAGGGTCAGAGAGGAGGAAAACGTCTTAAGGGCTAGAGAGGTGTTGGGGTGAGGGAGTGTCAGAAGAGGATCTAGGGTAATAAATAGCAGGAAATGAGGGGGAGAAGGCTTTGGCCTAGGAGTCCAGGACACAGGAGACACAGGCTTGCCTGACACCTTCGGCTACAAGTGTTATCTCTTAATCTAGGCGTGATTCTATAGGTCTGGGCTCTGGCACTGATGTCCACCTGACTTCCCCTTCTGCAGGATGCCTTTGCAGTACATCCTTGGGGAGTGGGACTTTCAGGGACTCAATCTGAAGATGGTGCCTCCTGTGTTCATTCCTCGGCCAGAGACAGAGGTGGGTGTGCCACCAGGGAAGGGCGGGGCAGGACTGGGATGAGGGTGGGGTTCAGGGTAGCTATCTTGCCCCAGACTTCCTCCAGGGGGCACTAGGGCCCCATCACAGCTATCCTCAGGGGCTGAGTTCTCCTAAACCTGTTTCCTGGTTTACTGAGTTTGTGGGGCCAAGAGAATAGAGGACTCCTGTTGACTCTCTTGACTGTCCTTATGTCTCAAGCCCTCACCCCGGCTCCTAGGGCTGGCAGTGGCCTAGAGTGCCTCAGCTGAGCCCCAAGTGCTCAGCCTATTTTTGCCTTTCTCTAGGGAATATCCTGTGGGCCTATGACATGCCTAACCTACAGAATACAAATGCCCTCCAACAGCTTCTCAGGAAGTGTGAAGGAAGTAGAGAGGGTTCCAGCTGGATATCTACAGACCTGGTATCAGCTATGTGACTTGGGGCAGATTATTGCCCTCTCTAGACCCAGATGATGAAAGTCTTGGGCCTCCACGCCAGGGAATCTATGACTTGATGGTCTTCTTTAGTCCTCTGTCTGGTCATATAATCACTTATGTCAGTCCCTTCTAGGACTAAGGATGTGTGGCCCAAGCATGCTGTCCCCTGTTGAGGCACCCTGCTCCTGGGAGGCATATTTTCCATGGCCTGGCTTGGACTTCTCCCTGACTTTGTGGGTGGCAGAGCTAGGAGCTAGAGAAAGCGGATGAGGGGTGAGGCTGGTTAGGAGCTAGAGGGCAAGCCAGAAAGCAGCAGGTTTTGAGAAGGAATGTTTCTAGAAAGATACCCAGGTAGGCACAGACATTCCTGAGAAAAGTCAGGCCCCATCCACCTGCCCCAGCTAGGGGCCCAGAGTCCCTTCTTACTCTCCTAGCCTCTGTCCCAGCCAAGAAACCCTCTGACCCCTCTGACCCCCATATCATATGGTTGGAAGGCCAGGTCCTTACTTCTTACCTAATTGCCTAGTGTCAGAGCAGAGTCAGTAGGGAATCTGAGGCCTTGTTGATTCACAGGCTGTGAGGGGGAGAGGGAAGCATTTGGACTTCTGACTCCTGGATCAAAACCCCACACCTCATATGGGCCTGCTGTTTCTGGGATTGGCATGACCTGTGATAAGGTACAAAGACCTAGAACAAGATGTGGCCTGCTACCTGTGGGCTTGTAGAAGGCTATTCTATGACTCCCTCAAACATACAACCTCTGGCCAGGAAGTCACTTGCCGTTTCCTGAACCTGCCCAGAATCAGGGCAGCTATCATGGTGACCTTCGAGTTTTCTGGTTCTAGCCATGTGTTCTGGAGTCGTGGGTGTCAAGTGTGGACTTCTGGCTCCCATGTGCTCCCCTTGCCACCACCCCCCACCCCAGCCAGGAGAGCAGATCTACTGCTGCAAGGGCAGGGGAGGCACTGTGGTTGGGAGGCCAGGCCCTCGCCTCACTGTATTACTGTACAGACATTTCTGAGAAATCAACAGCTTCACCCCAATGTGAAGCCGCATCAGGGGATGCCTTACCAAGAACTCAAGAGGACGTGGCCTGTGGCAGGGAGCGGGAAGAATGGGTGCAGGGGAGGGGTCATGGTGCCTTCTTTTCTCTGCCTATTGATGAGTGGTTTCTGGTAATAGGTGCAGGAGTCTAAAGTGCAAAGTTGCAGGTGGCCCAATGAGTTGGATTTTCCTTGGGGGTAAGAAGGTGGCTCAGGCCCCAGCCTGGTAGTATGTCATGTAGGAAACTCAGCCTGGGGGTGTGACCTGTTCCCACCTAGCCTGGTGTGGAGGCTGTATAGGATATGGGAGGAGGGTCAGGGCTTTGTCTGTCATTGGCTTGGGGAAAGCAATGTCCCCTCCCTGGGGTTGCCCCACAGGGAATGTAATCCTAATAAAAGTTGCTTGTGACACTCAAGTCCTGCTGAGGCCTTCGGCCAACCTCTTGAGGGAGTGTGGAGTCCATATGGGGACAGTGGCTGCAGGCAGAAGGAACAACTGCCTGCCCCCTGCCTCCTTCCCACATGCCCCCGCCCTTCTGCCCCAGCCTGTTCTTGGATTCTTCTCATGTTCATCTGGAGGAGGTACCCTGGGCCTGTGATCAACTTGGCTTTTAATCTCCCCAAAAAAGCCATCAGCATCAGGCTGATGGAAGCTCTTCACTGGGTGAGGAAGAGAAAGTTTCTGGACTTCATAGAGTGATTTCCACTCCTGCTACCCCACCCCTGCTGTGGTCCCATAACTAAGATTAGTCTCCCATGGTCTGCAATGTAAGAGAGAGTAAGAGGCCACTGGTAGTGGTGAGTCTTTCAGCCTCCCATCCTGCCCGAGGTGGTCATTCATATATCTGGTGTGTGTCTCTGAGGTTGTGGCTATCTGTGAGGTGGCTGGCCGCTGTGGCTGGCTGAGAGGTCATTCTCCAGCCAGAGTAGGTCTGTCTGTGACCAGGAAACCAAAGGAGGCTCACACCCCTGATATGTCCTGGCCACCCTGTTGGCATCTCAGCAGGTAGCCTCACCACTGAGACCACAGGCTCTCAGCCACAGCCCTAGACTCTGTTCCAGTCCCAGCCTCATGGCCCAGCTTTCTACAAGTATCTAAAGGTCTCCAGTAGTGCCTAGCCCAGGTCCAGTGGAAGTGAGTGGAAGGAAGCCTGCTGGAGCTACTTACCCATAGGCAGCAGCTTGTTTGGTGATGATGGGGCTTGGAACAGGGAAGGTTAGATCTGCTGGCCAAGTTCTGCTTACCTTAGACTTTCTACCCTTGGAGTAGATGAATTTTATTACTGGGGGAGTCTGGAAGGATGAGATGCTTTGGGGGGCTCAGTACTGGGAGTTTTTGTGGAAAATGGGTCTGAGTGATGTGGAGCCCCCTGCTCCATTGGGCCTGCCCGATGACTTTGGAGTTTTGGAAAGACCTGGGAGTGTGAGACCCAGAGGTGGCTTCCCAGGGCCGCAGAGAGCTTGACAAGCACTTGGAAAGTAGTCAAGAGGCTTCTCTGTGGGCCAACCCTTGCCTGTTTGGGGCACACTGCAATGGATCAGACCCCTGGTCTTCCCATCATAGAGTCTGGTGGGACTGCAAACCCCATTCTAGACCTTAGGCTCTGGGTAGGGAAAGCTGTGGTAGGGAGCCTGGCCAGAGCTCAAGGAAGGTTTTCTGGGCCTCTCTTCAGGTGAGAGAAATCACCCACTTGCTGTCCCCTTACCCAGTTCTCTGAGCCAATCCTGCCTAGGAGCTGAGATCCCAAGAGTCCTGAGCCTCTGGGTGGCCCCTCTGCCAAGTCCAAAAGGACTGCCTTTGAAAAGGGGCCACATTGTCCTTTCCCTGCTCCACGCTGATTAGGAACATTTTGTCCATTGGACAGCTGCAGCTCTCTACCACTTATCCCTACCCTGTGTTGGCTTCCATGCACAGTCCCTGCAGACAGCAGATGGGTGGGTGAGACTTAAAACCCTCTTATTTCCAAAGTAACAAAGTCTGAAAGGGTCATCCTGCCACCAAAGCGGGTACCAAAGCGGGTACCAAAGCGAGGTATAGTTGGGCACCTCCTACTACATCCATGCCCATTTACCCCATGCCCTATGTGTCCCCTTCCTCAGCTCTCTGAGGAGGCTGGGGACACACTGGCCATTGGTTCTTGGTTACTATGAGCCACAGGTCAGGCTTCAGGTGAACCTTGACACCTGGGCCTCAGTTTCTTTGTGGGACAATTGTGAGAATCCATCAGATTAGTACAGGCAAAGCTCTGTACTAGGGTGAGGCACAGTGGGAGTGGCCAGGAACTATCAGGGTTCTTACCATTTCTGGGAGCACAAAATGGGAGAATGGATATCTATAAAGGGCTTAGCTGGGGATATTGAATGCTTACCATCCAGTAGGTATGGGATCAGCGTTTCATAAATGTGGTTCAGTTTAGCGCCCAGCACATTCCCATGAGGTGGCTGGCTTCAACTATGCTCAACTTTATAGACTGGGAAACTGAGGCATGGAGAGGCAGGGTGACCTGCCCATGGCCTCAGCTGACATGCAGACCAATCTGGCTCTGGCCATCTCCCTTTCCTGCATTCATTCACACAGTGGCTACCTGCTTGGGCTTCTGTACCAAGACCTGCTAGGGACAGGTTGACACCAACTCTGATCCAGACCCCTCTGCTTCACAGGAACTGGTTGAATGGGTCCTGGAGGATGTAGCCCAGAGATCCCATGCAGTGGGAGCCCAAGGTGGCCCCCTCATTCTAGAGGTGGGCTGTGGATCAGGAGCTATCTCCCTTAGTCTGCTGAGCAAGCTCCCCCAGGTAAATACCCTCCACCCTACTCTGGAAAGACTAACTGACATTCACCTTCCCATTGGTCCTTTTCCCAAATCCCTTTGCTAGGAGTACTAGAGGGGAAGCAACCAGACAAGGGAGGATAGGGCTGTCCCCAGCCCACTGTAGTCACGGACTCTAACTCCCATCCCTGTTTGGCTCCCATCCCTGGCCACAGAGAGGGAAAAGCTTTTGAGTATTTTCCTCCTATTCTGTTGGGTGGTTCCAGTAGGGTTCCTGGGTCCAGAAACTCCCAACATTCTCTCTTCTGCATACCCTCCATTCGTTCTTGGGACAGAGCCAAGTCATTGCTGTGGATAAGGAGGTGACTGCCATCTCTCTGACCCATGAGAATGCTCAAAGGTAGGTGGGGAAACCAGAGGGCCAGGTTGAGGGAGCTAGACTTTGGGACCTGATCTTGACCCCATTCAGGTATCAATCCCACCAATGTCTGATTTCTGTTCCCAGGAAGGGGGAGGCAGTGGGGGCACCCTGCCATGGGTCCCACAGAGTTATGAAGGGTACTAGGTATTTTGCTGCTGCAAGAAGCATTCATGATTCATCTTCTTGTAGTCAAGGGTAGGGGTCTACCCCACATGCTTACCCGCCCCTCCCCTTTTCTCTAGGCTTCGGTTGCAGGACAGGATTCAGATCATCCCACTGGATGTGACCTTAGGTATCCTCCCCTACCTATCTCCTCTAAGGTGGGAATCCTAGATACAGGTGCTGTGGGTGGAGATGGAGGGAAGGCTTTCCCCATGGACATACACAGCATCTCAGACCAGTCCTTGCTGAGGACAGACAAGTTGCTGTTGCCTTCTGTGCTGACCTGACCAGAGAGACCTTCTGAATCCCTCATAATTGAAGACTTTAAGGACTTGATTATTGACAAGAGATAAGCAGAAACTTAAAAGAAAACCTTTGGCGGCTTGGCGGCTTGTCGCCTGTGGTTCAAGCGGCTAAGGCGCCAGCCACGTACACCTAAGGTGGCGGGTTCGAATCCCCAGTCCGGGCC